CCCCCCGCTGGCCCCCCGCACCCGCTCCGTCCGCCCCCCTCCCCTCCTCAGGGATGGCGGAGTCTCCTCCCGCGCCGCCGCCGCTGCCTCCCGCGTAGCAGGCCCCGGGCGGCGGCGGCGGCTCGGGCTCCATGTCCCCGTTGAAGAGCGAGGCCCCCTCGCCGCTGCCGCCGCTGCTCAGCGCCGCCATCTTGGACCAAAGCGTTGAGGAGGGGACCAGGAGGGGGAAGGAGGAGGAGGAGAAGGAGCGAGATGGGGAGGGGGAGCCGTGTCGCCCTTGACGACCCGGCCGCCCCCAACCGCGACCCGTAGCGGAGGAAGAGGGCGGGGCGAGGGGAGAAGAAAGACGAGGCAGAAGAGCCACCAAATACCACTACTAGAGCCTTCAGGCCACCAGCGGCGGCCAACGTCACACCCCGAGCGTGACGTCACCCAGAATCGCCGCGTTGCCAGGGCGCATGCGCGGGGAACGTCACCGGGAAACACCCTGACATCATCACGCGACTCCCCTTTCTTTTACGTCACCTAGGGAACCCGGAGGGCGCGGAATTGTCTTGCCACGCCCCCTTCGGCCCTAGTCCTCCTCCTCCTCCTCCCAACTATGTTGTGTTTTGTATAGGATTTTTTTTTACCCGATCAGGTTTTGCTACTGTCATTATCTATTGATTTACTATTACAGTATATGCTGTTTTCAAAGGAGGGCTAGTTTAATGTTGTTCAGCAAGGATGCTCTGCTTTAAGAGTAACTAAAGCTACGATCGTAAGAATTATAGCAAACAAATTAAACAAAAGCTAAGCTACCTGACGAATTAAAATAGAGCTTAAAGGAGAGGTATGTTTCTTTCATACCCTGAAACGAGACTACGTACTTTGCATACTAGGAGAAGGTACAGCTTGCCCACAGAGCCCTGTTAATGGATCCAAAACAGGGCTTCTGAAATACTAAATGGCTGGCTATAAAGGTCAGAGAATTCAGTACTGAAGCCGGAGGTTGGGAATTCAGTTCCATACTGCCTTGTAGAAGAGCCAGCTTGTGTGGCCTCCAGCAAGCTGCATAGTCCCAGGGCGCCCCCGGATGAAGGCCCTTATAAACTACTTTTGAGTACTCTGTACTTAGAAAATCCTGAGATGATTTGCACTAAGTCAGAATTGACTTGAGGGTATTAGTATTGGTTGTTGTGGGTTTTTCGGGCTCTTTGGCCGTGTTCTGAAGGTTGTTCTTCCTAACGTTTCGCCAGTCTCTGTGGCCGGCATCTTCAGAGGACAGCACTCTGTCCTCTGCCCACCACAAAAATACAACAAATGTTATGGTCAGCAAAGGACAGAAGGGACTCCACAGTCCATTCCAACAGCTCCAGGATCTCCTTCTTTACCTTCAGGGCCGGGCAGCAGTCCTCCCGCCCATACACAGATTAGGAAAGTCCTTCAATAGTCCACATATATCCTCCTGCTCAGGTTCTTTCTCTGTCTGGACCGCTTGGTCCTACTTTCCCTTCTCTGGCCCATCCGTTATATCAAAAACGTGTGCGCTTTCCCCCTCTTTTAACACCTCCTCCCAGACAATCAAGTCTCGCTCCTCCCCCTTGTCATCCGCCAAACACACCTCTAATGCTGCTTTCCTCTCTATCTTCTGCTCTGCTTCTACTAACACACCCTCGATACAGCCGCGTTCTTCCTCTATGGTAGGTATCTCGGAGGACAGAACATTGGCAGCTCCTTGCTCACAGCAAGGCAGAAAACTAGGGCCTTTTCATAATAGCATCCTTGTTATGAAGGAGTTACCTTAGAGAGATTTTGTCTGGCACCAACCCAGTTGCTTTTTCAACACCAGGTGAGCACTATTCTCGTCATGCAGGCTTTTAAAATAAATCACACATTCTGTGCCTCTCAGTTTGGGATGTGTCGGCTCAGGTTCTAAATTTTGCTTTGCTGTTTTGTTTTATGTTTCTTTTCTTTGCTTACATTTATATTGTTTTTAAACAGTTTTTTTATTTCATGGTTTATATAAAGGAAATCCCCTTGTATTTGTACTCTCTCCCTTGTTTGCATTAAAAAGTACACACTAGAGATGCTGTTCCAAGTCCTCCATATAGAGCACGTTACCCTAGTCTCTCGAGACTGAAGGATGCCTAATCTAGTCTATAACTAAACAGGATATGCATTCCAGACACAGACAACTATATTGAAATAAATAGAGGTGCCTTGCACTCGAATTCTCACAGTTTTTCAGAACCATACAAATAGGACCAGGGAGAATCCTTAGTGTAATTGTGGAGAGAACAAGGGAATGGATGGAGTGTTGTTCCAGTTCCATTAACCCTTGGCAGTCAACTGCTGCTCCAAATATACAAGGGAAGAAGGGAAACCTCTAAGGGGGAGCACTTTGGTGGAAAAATGGGATGGGAAGCAGGTGGGGTGGAAACATTTTGACTCACTGGGGAGAATTCCAGCTCTAACAACCTCTCTCCCTCCGAGGCTTGCCAGTGTAACGATGTTGGTATGTACCAAAAATACACCAGTACCTAACCATGCACACCAGCAAACGCTTCTTCACCTGCACCCGATGTGCTGCAGACCAAGCCTTCCCCAAAGGCAGGCGAACAGGGGAGGACCGTCACTACCCTGACTCCAATCCCTTTCCCACCACCACCATCATTATTGTTATCATCATCACCACCACCACCCCCGACTGACATTTTATCTCTGCTCGCCCCCTTCAGAAAGGCGGCTCGGGCCCCCTGCCTACCTGTCTGGCATCCTCTCCCCGGCACTTCGCTGAGCCAAGCCCCCCCCCC